GATGTAGGGTCCCTAAATTCTTTTAGGGTATTGGGYATTAACTAATTCTGACGGCTTTCTGGTTAGAAAGGTCCAAGTTGGGGGAGAGTGACCCATAGTCCTTTTTATTCAACTAGTGGGGCCGGGACAGTTATGAGTATTCAGAAGCAGGGCAGTAGAGGTCCATGGTACCAGTTACCTGGGTACTGAATATGGTGTACATAGAACAGAGGTCATACTATGACAACAATACAGAGGACAGCAAAGCATTATTTTTTGTAAACACTTAGGGCATAATAATTAGTATTTCAGMCGTCTCTTAAATCCATGAAGACAGTAACATATTCAAGCTTATGGTAGGGTCTAGCATGCCTTTTGAATGGAGGCCATTAAACTCTCTAGAAACATTAGCGGTATTGTCAGAAACATATACACTTTTAGTTTTTATAATGTCACAGGTGTCCCCTTGTGAAATATTTAAACTATCAACTGCCACCTGATTTTTGTAAAATAGCTTTCTCATTGGTGATAACTCTGTTGAGTACAGAGATCCCTTTAGCTGTGTCACTTAGGGGTCTCTGGGTAAATTTAGGGCTTCTGCATGCCACATTGCACTATTTAGACCAATCAGACATATACATATTGGGGTTAGAAAACACACCAATGAAAAACAGGTCAGTTACCTAGTGGAAGGGTGGGATGATTTGTGTGTCTGTGAAATCAGGTTTAAATTGGCTGAGGACAAGCCTGTGGTTCTGCCAGTCTTCTGTGATCCTTGTCAGACACCCCTGCATGAGAACCCTTTCTTCATCGCCTCCTATCCTTTATGTCCTTTTGTCAAGGCTAACATAGTACACACCTCAAGTTACATTAAGAGGAAGTGTCATTCCTTTTAATAGTCCATATGATTTTGCTTTTTTTTTCTTTCCTGCAGTGCTGGAGATTGAACCCAGGGCCTTGTGCATGTGAGGCAAGCATCTACCAGCTGAGTTATATCCCCAGCCCATGACTTTGCTTTGCTTGTACTTTCTGGCCAGGTGTTTAAGACCAAGTTAGTCCAAACTGCCTTTGTTCCTGTCTACTTTTTAAGAGTTGACTGAGATTCCCCAGGAATCACTCTGGGGGAACTTGTGAGAAGCTTCTTGGCTTCTTTAGTCTTGTACTTGCTTTGCCATCTGTCAACATGGGTCAGGGCCTTGCTGACCACTCATGGTTTCCTTTGGTAGCATTATGAATATGTCCCAATCCAATGATCCTCTTCTTTGCAGACTGTGTACTGGTTGGCTTCCTGTCCTCATGATCTGCCTGATTGGGAGGTTTTGTGTCTCAGGAGTTTCAGCATTCTAAGAGAGGTTCTGTCATTCCCTGGGTCCTGGCTGACCTTAGAGGGAAAAGGCCAAATTATTGTCTGCTTTTTCATTAGCACTTTTTCCCCTTGGCTTTAGTCACCAAGCAGTCCATTTTCACTGTTCTTGAAGTGGGAATAGTGGGCTTTAACTTTAATGTCTATAATTTATAGTATAGTTACCACTTGCATTTAACTAGTGATAATGTTAGTGCTGGGAGTCAACATCATATCCTATCTGTTCTGTAGGTGATTGCTCATTGTCTTTAATCAACTCAGGCTGTTCTGTTAGAGTAATACTTCCGTAAAACACTAACAGGCAATAGTTGATAAGTTTCACAAGGAAAGTAGAAGATGAATTTAACAAGTGCAAAAAAAATTATTGGGGGGCTGGGGATGTGGCTCAAGAGGTAGAGCGCTCGCCTGGCATGCGAGCGGCCCGGGTTCGATCCTCAGCACCACATACAAACAAAGAGGTTGTGTCCGCCAATAACTAATAAATAAATAAATATTAAAAAAAATTATTGGTTTATACAATGGCTTTGAACCAACAAGCATAATGTCTATAATAACACTCATGTATACTTCATATCTATTAAGCCTCCAGAAAGACCTATGACTTTATCAACTCCATCACACATGAAATGCTTTATAAGTTTGCTTTTCTTGAAACTCGTATAGGCTTAAATATTTTTATATTTTACCTAAACTTTTAAATAGTTTTGTGTATTATGTCCTTTTTAACTTTGAGATTACACTAATCTTTACAACAAAAATCTCTTTTTAATTGAGCTCATTCTAGTATAATTTGGAGCCATCCTAACATGGAGTAGGGTGTTCCCCTTGCTCATGTCTGCATTCTCCTGTCAATTTTACTTGCTCAATGGGACTCTCAAATCCTACACATTCCTCTGAATCCTAACCACAGTGTGGCTAAGGTCAGACTTGATGGTTTCCACTGGACCACAGTGGCTCTGCAACTCAGTGCCAGCTCTGCAGAACCAACACCATAAATGGCACCTCTGCTCAGTAGAGACTTCAAAGCCCTTCACAGAGCTCTGGCAAATACTCCCCTTGAGGAACTCTCGTACATTTTAACAGACTCTTGGGTGATTTCCAATGACCTTTTTGGGCTGCCACTCTGAAAACTAAAGTCTGGCAGATTACAGACATCCCTCCATGAATCTCTGTGGACCACAAAAACAAATCACAGCTTCTTGTTAAAACTTTCCTACTTGCATACACTCACAGGAGGGGTGGGGCCTTTGATGAGACCAATCAGAGCCAAGCTGCTCACTGAGCCAGCCCTGCCCCCTACTCTATTGCTGCTGGGATCTTTCATCACACCCAGCTAGGACAGCACAAAGAGAACGCTTTGTTTCTGCAGAGGCTGCCATGAGTGCCAGGGAGTGACTCCTTCTCAAAGGTGTTATAATTCTCTCCTGACAGTTTGATGACTTTGGACTGTAGACCCTTTCTAAATCTTCTCAGGATAGTGTTGGTGTTTTATCATCATTGACACTTTTCAGRTTTGGGACGGTCATGTCAGTTCAACCTGTCAACTAGTCACAGGTTTGTGGCATGCATTGGTTTTCTGGACAATTTGCCACCTGACCATGGTCTACCTTTTATTGCAAAAGATACTCCACATTGATTGATAGTGAAGGTACTCAATGGACCTTCCATGTCCCCTGCCATCTGTAGGCATCTGGCATTACTGACCATTGAAAAAATTTCCATCAAAATCAACTCAAAAAGGTTTTGATTCTCTCCTTCACCTCGTGGTCTGTGCATCTTGCTCAAGCAGTTGGTCATTAAATGCAGCTATCCCCAGAAAGAGATCATCCCCTCTTAGCTGCATCCTGGGTGATGATTAAGATGACCAGTTTGGCAGTTCTTCAAAAGTGAAACATACCCACCAGAGAACCCAGCAAATCTCATTCCTAGATATTCATCCTAGAGAAATAAAAACTTATGTTCACACAAAAGCCTGTATATGAATGTTTAGCTGGCTCTGTTAATAATCACCCCAAACTAGAAACAAAACCAGATGTCCTACAACTGTTCAATGGATAGACAAATGGAGATACATTTATGATAAATCAGCAATAAAAAGGAACAAATGATTGAAAAATACAACTTGGATGAATCTCAAGGAGATTAGCTAAGTGAAAGAMGCCAGTCTCAAAAGTTTACATCCTCTCTGTTTCCATTTATGATTTTCCAAACGTTGAAAACTATAGTGGTGAAGAATAGATCACGTGTGCCAGGGATCAGGCATGGGAGGGCAGCATGGCCACAAAGAAGGAGTTTGGGTGACCTGGGGGAATCACAGAACTCTTTCCGTAATCTATTTGTGCTGCTGGTTGCAGTCCATATACACATTAAAATGCAAAGAACTGTAAGCCAAGAGGCTGCACTTCTCTCTCAGGGGTACTGTTTCTTCCTGGGCAGGTGACCTCCTCCTTAAACAGCATCATGTTTGTAATGACATTGATCGTTCTCCTCATTGTCCCTTTGACCTACACAGCCTTACTCACATTTTAGCTGACCTCCAGCAGAGCAGGCTGTCTCCTTTCCTGGATGGCAAGTGGAGACTGGATCAGTGCATGTTCTGGTGGCACTTGTAAGTGGAGTCATGGCTTTTTGGGTGAGAAGTTCACCTGAGTACTTAATTTACACAGCAGATCTCATGCAGGAGCTGCATTGGACAACCTGGCAAGTACAAAATTCTGCCTTAGTCTTCGTTTTCCTKGTTGCATTCTAGGGGTTGGAGCACAGCATGTGGTTGAGACTGACTTTTCACTATTATCTTTATCACAATGCCTTCAACTTCAGGTGAGGCCCCACTATCATTTGACCCAGGGGCTCCTACTGGACCTGTGTCAATGTGGGCATATTTTTAATGGAGGGAGGCCCTACCCATGCTGTCTTTATGCTTCCTTGATGACCTCTTTGTGGGGTTGGCCAACGTAACAAGAGCTAGCTTTAATTTCTGTTTTTCCAGGCACAGCCTTAAAGAAAATATCTATTAGCTATGAGAGGTGTATGTCAGTTTGCCCCCTCCACCCATCGGAGCTTTTTTCTATGTCCAAGGTACTCTACCCAAAGAAAGTCACATTGACCAGAAAGAGATCTTTTCTTTCTTTCTTTCTTTCTTTTTTTTGTTTGGCACCAGGAATTGAACTTAGGTTCCCTTAACCACTGAGTCACATTCCCAGCCTTTTTAAAATGTTTTGAGACAGAAATTCCCTATGTTGTCCAAAGCCTAGTAAATTGGTTAAGACCTCAGTAAACTTGCCTCAAACTTACAATCCTCCTGCCTCCCAAATTGCTGGGATTACAACCATATACAACCACACCTAGTCCATACAGAGATGTTTAGGGGCCCCCTTCTATAGAAACCAGCAGGACCAAGAAGCAAGTGCCTGTATTCATGGGGACTCCAGGAGGCCATTGTACCTGCTGAGCTCTGAGCAGAAGGCAGGACTCCATTCAGAGCCACCTGCTTTCAAGCAAATATTCAGAGGTTCAGAACACAAAAGATGGGGGAGCTAGCACTGGAGGCCTGGTGCAAGCTACCGCCAGATTTCTCAGTGACATCATTTACCCTGGGGTCAGAAACATCTGGTCTGCTGGTCTCCACCCTGATCTTCTCGCCTTTCCCTCTTATCAGGCAAGGACAGCCTGCCCCTGGGCTTCTCTGGGTTTATCAAGGTGAAGGAAAGTAACTTGTTTGTGGCCATGTTGGAGGGCTTTGTGGGTGTGCCTGGTGAAACCGCAGGTTTCAAACTGGAGTTTTTTAAATGGAGTTGCTTAGGCTCAGGCCTAAGGCCATCCTCACACACTTCCTGTCAGAGCTCTTTGTCTTTCTGAAGGTTGAGTCTGTCTTGGGCTTTAGCCCCAAGGAGAAATATTAGTAAGAAAGCCTATTCTTTACCTTTGGCATGAAAAGTAGGAAGTGAAGCCAGGGGAGTCAGATCGCTGTAAACTGCAGTGTGGCTGATGTGAATTGAAATGTGTTGGGAGTCTTGAAATAGAATGAGCTTTGAAATTATAGCTCCCAAATATATACACTTCATTAATAATTTTATATTGTTCACATATGATAATATTCTGCATAAGGCCTCACTTAGTTGCTGAGGCTGACTTTGAACCTTTGACCCTCCTGCTTCYATCGCCTAAGCCACTGTGGTTGCAGCCATGAGCCACTGCACCTGGCTGTTTTTAATTTTTTAGTGTGATTGATAGAAAGTCACAATTACACTTGTGACTCACAATTTGTTTGTGTTGGACATTGCTTGCTGCCTTAGGGTATTGTTTACCAATTCAAAGCTCAAGATACTTCCTGATAAGACTAGAGAGCAGAAAAATTAAATAAAATTTAAAGTAATGGTTATTATATAATTTAAATTCATAAAATAGATACACAAATGATTAATAAAGTGATATGATCAAAGTTAATATGAGACATGGTTCAATGCAAATATCTTTCTGGATAGTCTAGATATTGCTATTTAGCAGAACCTTAAAACAGCTGCTGTTTGAAGTTCTGGATTCAAAGTACAGAACTTCAAATAAAAAGAAAATWGGAATGGTAGGGCATAACTGAAATACCCCGAATTCCAAGTTAGAGGCCAGCCTAGGTAACTTAGCCCTGATCTCATAATTAAAAAAAAAAAAAAAAGTGAAAGGACTCTGGGTGTTAGTTGCTCAGTGATAAGTGTCCCTGGGCTAAAATCCTACTGGGGGGAGTAAAGAAAACGTCGCCAAGAACCTGCCATTCTGTTCTCATTATCCTTGGTTGGATGCACTCTACCGTCACTCAGAGCGTTGGTTCAATGGGTTCCGTTTCAGGGGGCGGGCACTGAAGTTCTGTCCAATCAGAGGCGTGACATTGRGATCTGTCCAATCCAGCGCAGAGCCCGTGAGGAGGGGGCGGGTTTCTGCCATCCGGGCCGGCTGCTGTCCCGATCTGTCTTTATGTTCGCTCCGCTGTGCTCCTGCTGTTCGGGTCACTGTACTGCGGAGGCGCTGGGAACCCACAGGAGAGCGCTGCGCTCCCGACCTCTGGGAAATGGTGAGTGAGCGGGGGCGTCTGGAGCCCGGGCGCTGCGTGGAACTGGCAGGACTGTTGCGGCGGGAACCTGAAACGGTGGGTGGGACACCCCGTCCTCTCCAGTCTGCAGCCCCGAGTCCTCCTCAGGGCAGCGCCGCCCTCAGCTGCCCTGGCCGTCCTAGAGGAGCGCAGGTCCGCCGGCGGGGACCCAACCCCCTCCCGGGTCACTGCGTGGTCGCCTCCGCCCTGTCTGGGCAGCAGCCTGCCAGCAGCTCTGCCTCGCCCCAGCTGTGCGGTGAGACCAGGGACCATCCTCAGGAAGGGTCCAACTCTGTGCGTGGTGTTCCTGCGTGAGAATAGCTGGGGTCTGCGGGGACCTCAGCTCCCCTACCTCCTGGGCCTTCCGAACGTGCGGGAAGCAGCATGTCTAACCCAGAGGAGCCTGTCCTGCAGCCTGGCTCTTTATAAATGCCTAAGTTATAGATAAACCCCTAGGTTTCTAGCTCCCTGTCCGCATTGCAATGCCGAATTCTCCTCTCCAGGTTGTGAACTATTTGTCTCCCATGAGCACTCTACCGCTGAGCCACAAACCCAGCCCCCAATTTCTTTAAATAAGTACCTAGAATTCTTGTTACTGGATCATATGGTAGTTCTATTTTTTTTTTTTTTTTAGTTTTTTGAAGAATTTGTATACACACACACACACAAAACGAAATTTATATTATAACCAACATTCTATAAAAGGTTTTCTTTTTTCCATGTGGCTGTACTCTGGAGAACTTATTGTCTTGCAACTTTTTGATAGTAACCATTTTTATAGCATAGTTCAGGCTGCAGGGGGTCTGCTATTTGGTGCATTAAGTCCCTGATACAAGTTAGATTCCAGTGCTTCCACCACCTGTGGCCAAACTTGTGGTACTGGTGAAGGGCAATAGGAATTAGAAAAGATTCACACAAACAGATTATGAACATAAATAGTTTGAATTATGTGGAGCACTCCTTTCTGATGGAGAAGCAGACCTAAAGAGTTACACCAGCAATCTTTATTTATATATGTCTCCTTATCAGGTTAAGGAGTATGCAAGCATTATTCTTTGTACTAAGGAAAGTTTCAGAATTAGATACATCTGCAGCTTTTCTACAGTTTCAATGTGAAATATTAGGAGCTTTGTGTAGCGTTCAAGGAGGTCCATTGTTTGAAGTTACTGAGCAGCAGAGCTGGTGAAACATTGTGGTTGTCTGGCAGGAGAATTTCTGTATCCCTGAGAGCTATGTTCCTGAGATCAAGGTCAAAGCTGATAAGACTTGCACAGAGCCTCCTTGGGCAGGGCTTTACCATARCAGCAAGRCATCCTTTGCCTTTGCACAGAAACAATCCCAGGCAGCATGTGCACCACAGCCATGAGGTCATCAGAGACCCCCAATYGCAGTCACTGCTCTCTGCAATCTAGCCTGTCAAGTTGCCACTGGAAGAGTGTGCTGTGGCTTTTTCTGAGATCTGTACTTTTTGACCCCTTTTCTTCTCTAGTGGTGGGGATTGTGCCCAAGGAAGTACTTGCCCTTCAATATAAAACCACTTGTTAGTGATCTGTGGAGATTTGCACATACTCAGTTACCTTTGTTTGCAGAACTCAGGAGGCTGGGATGGAGACCCAGGAAGAAAAGGTGTTGAGGCTCTCAGTGCATGGGCAGACTCCTTCTAGGAAGAATTGGAGTTATTACTGGGGTGAAGTGGGGGAGAGAGCTCAGGAAGCATAAAACTCCCACTTAGGCTAACAGTGGTGGCCTTTATTTTCCTCTTTAAATTCATGATTCTGGCTAGATAGGAGCTCATTCATCTGCAGCAGCAGTTGGCAGAGTGAGCTGGCAGACCCAGAGCCCTTCTAGGGATAAACTGACACCTATGAGATTTAACCCATTGTCTTCCCTGGTCCCAGGTGATGAAGCCAATGGAAGTACTTGCATGTCCATAAAAAAATCACTTTTTCCTGTGGTCTTGATACTTGTGTGTTTGTAGTCCCCTCCTCTCTCAGCAGTAGATAAATTAAAATGCGAACCACAGAAGACTTTAGAGTTAGGATATGTAGAGTCCCAATCTTCCTCTCCTAGGTCTCTAAATTTACTTGTGGCATGACTTTGTCTAAGTACTTGAAACATGAGTAGATATTTATTCAGTGTATCCATATATGAAGGGAGAGTCAGGAGTCTCCTATTCTGAGGAATTTCCAACAKTATCCTCCATTAACATCTGCCTTTTATTGTGGTGCTGGGGTTTGAACCCAGACCTTGCACATTCTGTATGCACCCTCTACCAGTGAGCTGTGCTACCAGTCCCTGCACCTACCTTTAGATTGGGCTGACCATGCATTGAAGTCTAATGTAATTCTTAATATGCTTGGATTTACTTTSGCCTTCTGTTGGTTTTGACAATAGAAAATTCATCTTCATGTGGCTTCACCTATGGATTTTGTGTGTTATGAATCCTTATTTATTATTAATGTAATATTACAGTTTCATAATATATGTTAGTGTCAGGTAATGATAGCTACTTGTTTTGCTCTTACAAATCAGGGTTTTTTGGCTAATTTTGTATATACTTTACAGATGAGTTGTAGGGTGTTTTGTTTTGCCCCTTCATTCAATAAAAGGAAAACATCCTGAAATTTTGATGGAAAATGTTACAAATTAACTGGGAGGAAAATCATTGTCTTTGGAAGGATGAGTTTTATCATGTACACATGGTGTGTGTAATTGAGCCTTTTATTTGCTTTTGTACATTTTAATTTTCTGGTAAATTCTACATATTTCCTTTGAAAAGCATGCATACACATGAAGTATCACAGGGTTGAGATGGCTCTCTAATACTAATCTGATGTTTTCTATGGTTAAACTGAGTGTAATATGACAAAAGATATGGGTGGTCCCTAGAAACCATTGTTTTCCCACTTTTTTATTTGTGTCTTCTTGAATGTACACCCTCTTTCCCCCCCTTTGGATTTCAGTTGTTTGGACCAATATTGCTGTGTCCTCATGTGTTTTCATGGTTTACACATGAAGTGATTTCTACAAGTCTGTGCTGATGGTGTATTGTGTATCTTCATAGATTTCCATAAATATAGAACAACAACATACATTTCATCTTTCGTTCATTATAATTCATTTTTCCATATATTTTTCAGTATTGTTTAATTTTATATATCTGATGTGATTTTATTTTACATTTCTCTAATTTCCTAAGATTTGGAATGTTTTCATGATTATTGGCTGTTGAGTTATCTTCTGTATAAATTGCTCAAGCCTGCTTTTTTTGGTGTCCTTGAATTTTCCTTTGCTATTAAAATTTTTTGGTTATATGTGAGGGAATTATTTTCTTCCACTGTGTCACTTCTCTTTTTGCCTTTTAATGTTAGCATTTGATGAATAAAATTTTTGTTTTAATGTTGCCCAATTTTTTTATTTTTTTAACATGTTTTTTAGTATACCTTTGAAAAGAACTCCTTTTTTTGTGGTTCTTGGAATTGAAACCAAAGGAACCCTCTTCCCACTGAGCTACATTCTGGCCATATTTGAAATTTTATTTTAAGACAGGGTCTCACTAAGTTGCCCAGGCTGGAATAGAAATTTCCATCCTCCTGCCTTAGCTTTCCAAGAAGTTAGTATTACAGGTGTGTACCACCATGTCCACCTTGTAACTAACTCCCTTTTTATAATAATTTGTGAATGTTTTATGGTTTGCTTTTATCTTTAATTATGTATTACCTCTGACAATGATTTATGATGTGATATGAGGAAAGACTACAACAGCATGTATGGGTCACCCAGATATCCCATTTTCCCAGCAGCTTTCTTTGGAATAGATGCAATTTTTGTACTTTCCTCCAGTGCAAACTTTTGTCATTTATCATTGTCTAAATAGCAAGTGTCTTTTTAAAAGTTCTGTCTTTGTATCAACAGGTCTATTTATTCATTTTATTGTGAGGTGTACATGACTGCTGTGACTTTATAGCATATGACCATGTGTGGCCTAATGACTTTTTCGTTGGTGATGGACCGCATGTACAGTGACAGTTATCACAGCCTAGGTGTGTCGTAGTGAACCATCTAGGTATCAGTGCTCTGGGTGATGACTGCAAAATGAAGAATCACTTTACAGTGATTTATAGCATTATCATCTACACATGGTGTAACTGAGTCTTTTATTTACTTTTGTAAATTTTAATTTTTTAAATAAATTCTATGTATTTCCCTTTGTTTTAGTTGTAGATGGACATAGTACCTTTATTCATTTATTTTTGTGTGATGATTGAACCTAGAGACTTACATGTGTTAGGCAAGCACTACACCATGAGCCACAACCCCAGCCCTACATTTTCCTTTTAAAGCATGCATACACATRATTTACAGAGATTTACAGCATTTCCCTGAATGTATATTTAACATTAAATTAGGCATGTATATGTATATTCTAATTTATTTATAATGTTTCCTTCTAAAATATAACCAGAGTTTTTTCTATCTTATTTTTCTTTTAGTAGCATGAACATTTGACATGCTAACACTGTGGAAATGTTCATTTTCAATATCTTTAAATTTTACTCTTTTCCCTAGGACTATCTTTCTATACTCCTAAAATTTGCTTTCTCCAAACTATTGAAATTGATGATTAACTAATGAATTCTTAGGCTCTTTATTAGTTCAACTATTGAACAATGTGTTTTCTTTTTTTTACTTCAGCTTTAGATACATCTCATTTTTATAGCTTTATTGTGGGGATATAGTTCAGTTGGTAGAGTACTTGCCTCACATGCACAAGGTCCTGGGTTCAATCCTTGGCACTGCCAAAAAACAAAACCAAAAAATCATATATATATGATTTTTTTGTTTTGTTTATATATATATAAATATTTATATCCATCCATGAAACCAGCACCACAGTCAACATAGTTAATATAGCCATTACACTAATGTGCTCCCTGGTCCTCTTTTTTTTTTTTTAAAAATATATTTTTTTTTAAAGAGAGAGAGAGAGAGAATTTTTTTTAATATTTATTTTTTAGTTTTCGGCAGACACAACATCTTTGTTTGTATGTGATGCTGAGGATCGAACCCGGGCCACATCCCCAGCCCCCAGGTCCTCTTTTATAATCCTTTTTTCCTGCTCTTCTCCACCATATTTAAAAATTAATTTGATCTTATTGGACAAAGCCAAAAATAGGATTAGTTTCAAAATTCTATACATCAATGAATTATCACGAATGGGACACCTCATATAGCTACTGTCCTCCTCAATAATCC